ATAGGTCGTAATATTTTGCTAGTGTGTTTATACACGTGTTTTTTTTTTAATTACGTGTTAGTAAGTTACGGCATTAAGTCCTCCTTATGCAATATTTGTGCATAAATATTAAGGAACATAAATAAGTGCCATTCAACTAAGCTAATTTATTCCAAAAACATAAACAGACGTATGCGTCATGAGCTTTATTTTTCTCCATTGTCACATTCCAAAAAGTACGAAACTAGTATGATGACAGTCATTCGTAAAGCTTAAATTTCTGCTCACTAACTTTTGTGTTAAGAAGTGAGTGCAGTAAATTACTTTTATTTAGAGTGCATTGTTCGTATTCAAAATAAATTAAACCCTTGGATTAACTCAATGCTCACTTTACTTATTTAATATTAATACTCTTATGCTTTAATTCAACAAATTATCGTCTGCAGTATTTCCGGACCGATACGACTTTCAAACTTTTAAGAAAAGAGCGTCCCCCTTTCTCAAAGGCTGGCAACGCGCTTTTGACTCCTGAGTTGGCGATAGTCACTTGCCATCAGCACGATATATAAAATGCTCATAAGGTGAAGTGGTGAATATCGGACTGCAAGTGAATACGAAAATGTCACAACTACTCGACCTAACTCGACGTACTTGGCAGTATAGAATTGAACGTCGTGTTGCTAGGACCAGGACACTCATAGGTAAACTAATTAGTTTTGGATCAGGGAATACGTGGCAGAGAGTGATGCGCTTTGTGAAACAGGCATTCTTTTGGGACTCCCATTAGTCCTTAGCAGTACATGTCATGTGTCACAGAGCGCATAGACTTTCTAAAGCAGAAAATGTATGCATGGGCAAATAGGATAAGACGGTATAAAAAACGAATAGATCGGTATTATCAGAATCGAATGTTCCAAAGAAATGAGAAGTGGGTGTACTGGAATTGGGAGGAACCGGATCAATGTGTAAGTGATGGGCATTTGCCAGATGAAAATGTCACAAATACATACAAATACGCTCACATGCGTGTTTGGCATCTCGATTCCAGGCAGCATTGGATTCGTGTTCATTTCGCCAATTTATAACCACTGGCATAACCCACTTACTCTTTAAGTCTGATAGTGTCATGGAACCCAAAAATTTTAGAGCTATCACATGTTTACCAACCATTTATAAACTTCTAACAATCTATTCTGAGACTCAAAATTACTTAGCACAGTAATAATAATTCGATTATGTCAGTTTCTCAGAAGGATGTAAAAGTGGGACACGTTTGCACTAAAGAGCTCTTTATCATAGACAGGACCATTAGCCAACAGGCACGTCGTAATCGTAAGAGTTTGGTGATATGTTGGATAGACTATAAGAAGGCTTATGACTTGGTTCCACACACATGGCATTGAAGGTGCTGGAGTTGTACAAAATTAATGCAACTCTATGCACTATCATGGTGTCATATATAGGGCAATGGAGAACAGCACTGCGCTATCAAGAATGTCGGCAGACTGCGGTAGACGATGTACTAATAAAGATCGAGCGGGGTTTTTTTCAAGGTGATGGTCTGAGTCCCTTGTGGTTGTGGTTTGTCTGGCTTTAAACTCCTTTCAGCACTCTCTTAAAGGGTTCAGGGTTAGGCTATAGGTTGCAGAACGATGATCAAGTTATATCTCGCCTTCTTTGTATGGATGATTTGACTACTAAATTACTATTGACAGCGTTACTAAAGGTGACAAAAAACTTTAGTAATTATATCAAGATGGAATAGACAAGTGTGCAGTCATGTTTGTAATGAAAGGCGTGATAGTAGAATCTGAAGGAATAGAGCTTTCAGATTCAACTAAACTCAGATCTCTGTCTGCCACTGAAAGTTACAAGTATCTATATATATCACAGTCGTTAGGCATACCAGAATCTGAAGTGAAACACGTTGCAGGAACGCTTTTTTGGCCGCCTGAAAAGAGGTACTTATCAGGGGGCAACAAGGTGCGAGCCTACAATGGTTAGGTCATGCCGATTCTGATGTATTCCTTTGGTATACTTAGATGGGCTCTGACCGAATTAGATGCTCTTGACCGGAGAGTCAATACACTGCTGACTGCATTACGAATGCAGCACCTACGTTCATCGGTTATGAAATTGTATATATCGCGAAAGTTTGGGGATCGCGGGCTATTAAATATCAAGACCCTACACATTGCAAGATATACAATCTCAGAGAATATTTTCTACATATTGATGGGAGTGCATCGCAATGTAGTTGCAGTGGATACCGGATTTACTCCGCTCGCTCTGGCTAAAGAGAATTGGCTCAAACTTGTAGCACGTAGTACTAATGATCGCAGGGAAGTTTACTGTATACAGGTACTGGTAAAAACTTTTCTTGTAAAAATCTTTGCTTGTGTTTTTGGCATGTTTTCTTTTCTATTTGTGATTTTAATTTTTTTTATTTAACTCACTGGACTTTAATTTGTGCTTGTAATACTGTTGCAGATGACGACTTATACGAATAATGATTATATATTCTGTTAGCAATAGTTAGTCACGAATAGAAAAGAAAACAGTCCAAAAATACAAGTCAAGTTTCTTACTATGTACTATCGGGTTATGCGCTAATTCTTAATACTCCCGGTCTTCCTTCTCAGTTATTTTCTATGAATTCTGATGCTATCCTATACTTTTATATGTTATTAGATAGCTGACAATAGGTACATGTTCTTTAAGATATCTGCAACTTAACTGCTATAGGCTTTTTTAAATATTCATTACAAAAAAAAGCAGATTTATTTCATTTTGGTATTATCAACAGTAAAAAAAAAGAAAAATCTGGTTTTAAATTCTAAAATGTGTTAACCAAGATTTTGGCAATTTTTATAAAAATCTTAAAAGTCCAAAATCTTGAAAATGCGGTTAGGTTTGGGATATGGTATTTCATAGTGAAATCGATCATAATCACCAGGATCTAGGTAACTTTTTGTAAACCTTGACTATTTTTATTACTTTTATCACTCACTGTATGCTGCCCCATTCTTTTAAGATGAGTAAGCAAATTTAAATTCTACGCTCGACTTGACACAAAACAAAACTTTCCTACACCAACTAACTTGCTTACCTACTCAAAGGAAGCAGCAGGAAGAGTTGAGAATTGTACAAGTTTTCTTAAGCCCGTGCACTTACCTTCCTCAAAAAAGTCAGTCGAACACAATTTGAAAGAGGATCGTTGGAATGCTGAACTTTAAATTGAGTGTAGAGATGCGCTGTAACTGGAACGGTCACGGGCAGGGTATTAGCGAAAAATACGACAAACTAATGCATATTTAGTCTAGTAGTGTAAAGTATTGTTAAAAGACTCCAGTGGTCTGCATATTCAGTGTTTTTACTTACCAATCTAGACACAACTTGCAGACTTAACAATCTAGACACAGCCTGCGTGTGTACTTATGTACACAACTTGAAAAATAAATCATTGAAACAGTTAACTTACAAAACTGTTTGCTTAGAATTGTTTTTGGAAAATCATCAAAAATATATCTTTCAGTTGGTATCCTTCAGTAAACATGTTGGAAGTTGCTATAAAAAACTCTTCTTGGCAAACGCAGAGACCACGTTATTCCTTTCCTTTGATCGAATCGTTGCAGTTTTATTTTTTATAAATAGGTAGAATAAAAAATAAAACTGCAACGGCCCGCAGTTTTATTTTTTATTGTACCTAATTCAGAGTCTCCGGAGGCGTGAGCAAGATAAAAAACATAGAGATGAGTTTTGTATTTACTTGATTTACATAAACACTTCTTATTTAGTAAATACCTGTTGCACACAACTAGAGTCCTTGTATTATCCTTAAATTCGACATATAAACACACACCTATTCCTTTATTATTCTACATAAAACCTAAAATCTTTTTCGTTTATGTTTTGGACAGTCGCATAGTATAGGCATTAGGATGCTGCGTTGTTCAAGAAACTGCTATTAAATATTGTCGACAAAAATTATTGCCATGCGAGGTACATTAATTATAAAAAAGACAATCTGTGTATTTTAGTAAATTTTGAAAGTTCAAATGTTGTTAACATTCGGTTTTAAATAAAAAAAATATTAAGAACATTTTATGAAAACCAGTACGTACCTAGCTTTTTAAGAGCTCTGATATTAGAGCCTATCTGGAAAGTAGGAACACTTGAGGGGGGACACAAAAGGCACCAAGGCCCACTCTTGAGTTGCAGGTGTTCATGAGCTACGGTAGTCAATTACCCTCAGGTGACCCATCTGCTCGCTTGCCCCTATATCATAATCAAAATACTCATGAAAAGCAACGACTTTCGAGTACAACTGATTCCGCATTGCGCGTGTCACTGAGTAGACTTGTGTTTGGTTGCTGCAAGGTGTTATTCTAAATTCATTTTATTTAATTGTGATTGGTGTAAAGTGCTGAATTCGGTTCCTTGTCGCGCTTGGTGGTAGTTAATGGTTTGACTCCACCCTGTGGGCGGACTCTGAGCGAGATAGTTATAATTTTGTGAGCCGCAACTAATTGTCAAAGTGCGGCGGCTGCACCGGTCTCGATCACGGACCGCTGGCTTCTCGGTCGACGACACTCCCTAACAAGCTGTCAAGCGCTACGAGTATCTCGCGAAATTACTGTTGACGACTAGGCTGCGTGTGCTACAGAGTGACATCGAATGCTACGCCTGCTACGATACATCGAAGACATACACTATCGGCTACGAGACACTGCCGTTTATATTGAACACTTGGCTGCGGTACGAAACAGTTTATAACTTATTACTACAGTTCTTAGGGAGCATAATTAGTAATGCCACGCGTTCAGCGTTCACCTCCCAACGCGCCTTCTTTAAAGGTTCCACAAACACAATCAGAACCGGATCTAACGCAAGCCGTCTCCCAGCAATCGCATGACAGCGATGTGGTAAACGTACTGCCGAGAAATAAGCGGCCGCGTAGTGAACTTTCACCTGAGAAATGCGATCTAGCGAAATTCAGAAAAGAGTTAACATCTAACATAATGGAAATATTACAAAAATGGCAGGAATCTCATGATAATAACCTAATGAAAATTATAGACAACCAAAACGCCATTTTAAACACACTAGCGGCCGAAGTAAGTGATATCAAGTTGCAAAACGCAGATATTTTAAAATCGCATCAAGAGATTGAAAAATCTATTGGTTTTGTGAATCAACAGTATGAAGAGCTTAAGGGTAGATTTATTGGCTTGGAAAGGGAACGCCTCCAATTGCTAGATTACAATAAATCTCTGGAAAATAAGTTGAAAGACATGCAGCTTAGCTCGCGCCGTTCTAGTATTGAGATCCGAAATGTACCTCCGAAAGAGAAGGAATCCTACACCGATCTAATTTCCGTGATCTCCAGCATTGGCGATGTTATAAAGGTCAATATCTCCGCAGCTGACATAAGGGACATCAGACGATTACCAGGAAAACCAGGTGCTAGGAAACCAATAGTCGCTGAGTTTACCCAGGTGCAAACCAAAAATCACTACCTCTCAGTACTACGAGATTATAATAAAAAACATATCAAGTCCGAAAAGCTAAATACAACCCACACCGGCATTCAAGGCGAGAAACAACCCATTTTTGTCTCCGAGTACATTCCACCTACTTCGAAAAAGTTGTTTTTCCGGGCTCGTGAGTTTGCCAAACAAAATAATTATGTGTACTGCTGGACTGCTAATGGTAATATTTTTATTAGGAAGGAGCTAACCAAATCCTTATTACATCGGAACAATGCTTAATCAACTTACAGGAAAAAATGAGACTAATTTTAAGTCTGTCTATACGGTTATTCCCTTTATATATAAAACAGTCTATCTTTATAAATTCTAACTTAAAAAATACGTACACTTACCTACATACATACATGCATCTCATACATATCTTCACCAACTACTCACATTGTAAAGAACTCACGTACTCTAGGCGACATACCTTCAACTCGCACACAAAACATAAATACACAATGCACAAGTATAACACCATTAAAATCACACTAAGGATAAACTCATCTACGAGTATTCTAAAACTACTAGATCCTACACAACTAATAATGATCATAGTTTTCTTACCCATGAATCACCTGTCGTATAATAATGTAATGACTTTTTTTCTTTATTAAATGGCTAATACAATTGAAGTTGATAGCTTATCATCACATAAATCACATATTTGTAAGGCACAAGACTGTAGCAAGCTTCTTAACTCACTGATTAAATCACTCAAAGTCATACACCTCAACATACGAAGCATCAAAAAGAACTTTGATGAATTTAGAATACTACTATGCTCTCTTGAATTTGGCTGTGACATACTCATACTAACAGAATGCTGGTTATCTAGGACTTTTACTTTGCCGGTATTGGATGGATATACGAGCTTTGCAATGAATAGGGTGCACAGTCAGAATGATTGGATAGTTATGTATGTTAAGAACAGTCTCAAAGGTTTCGAGGTGTATGAACCTCTATTTCAAGAAGCTAATTGTCTTGGCTGCAAGCTAGACAGTGATAATGTAACTATAGCCTTATATAGACCACCATCGTACAAGAAAATAGATAACTACCTTGACAGTCTCAATCTTATTTTATCGGAACTATCGACTTATAAGAACATTATACTGATGGGTGACTTAAATCTAGATATTAAAACAAACAGCTCGGACAGCCGCGCCTATGACTACCTAAATCTTACAGCATCATATGGCCTCTTACCTACTCATCAGTTTCCCACGAGATTAAACAACTGTTTAGATCATGCACTAAGTAAAACTCACAACACTGCCACAACAGTAGTAATTGAATCTTCTATCACTGATCATTATCCTGTGTTGCTAAGCCTCAATAGGACTAGAGCGACCCCTAAGTTGCATAGTGAAATCAAACGTCTGGATATGAATGTCATTCTTAGTGACATAGAAAAGACGGATTTCTCTAACATTCTTTCCAAACATGAAGTAAATGAAGCCACTGATCTATTCATTCATACCCTTCAATCTATCATGGTATTGCATAGTAAAACTACTAGGGTCTCCTGTAAGTCTCGAATAATTAAGCCATGGATAACTCCTGGGTTACTAAAATGCATACGTAATCGAGACAACATGCATCTGAAGCTTAAAAAACAACCAAATAATACTATCCTTAAAATTACTTATAAGCGCTATCGCAACTTCTGCAACAATCTGCTTAGAACAATCAAATGTGATTATCAGAGATCTGAATTTGCAAAATATAACAAAAACCCTAAAAAAACGTGGGAGGTAATCAAAACAGTTACTGATACTGCTGTTACAAGAACCAATGCAGAGGACCTATTAAATGCATATGGAAATAAAACCACAGCAATAAATTATATTAATAGCTACTTCGCTAATATAGGTTACGAATCAGCCAGTAAAATAAAACCAACTCACAGATCCAAACCGAATTGTCTCACAAATCCTGCACCGTTTAAATCCATGGGCATAGTTGAAGTGGACGAAATAGAGATAAACAGAGTAGTTAATAGCCTCCGCACAGAAACAGCTATGGGATGGGATGGCATTCACACAAGTGTTCTCAAATCTGCTAGACTGTATCTAGTTCCAGTAATAACTCACATATGCAATCTGGCCATAAGATCTGGTACTTTCCCCAGGGCCCTAAAAAGATCAGTAGTAATACCGATCTTCAAAAATGGTGATAAGGGTGAAGTAGGTAACTACAGACCTATATCCATACTTCCAGTTTTGTCAAAGATCTTGGAGAGAGTCCTCAACAATTACTTAACAGACTTTCTGGATGCAAATAATATTATATCAAAAAATAAATATGGCTTTAGAAAGGGTCTGTCTACAGAAGATGCAGTTGCATCACTTACACAGCTTGCAGTTCGTAAGATTGACGATAAACAAAAATGTCTAGGCATATTTCTTGACCTCTCGAAGGCCTTTGACACAGTTTCCATTCCAATTTTAGTAAAAAAACTTGAATCGGTGGGTGTCAGAGGAGATGCCCTAAAAATTTACACTGACTACCTAAAAGATCGCACTTAATGCGTTCGTATTGGTTCACTTACTAGTAACGAAGTCCCAGTACTATGTGGGGTTCCACAAGGGAGCATCCTGGGCCCTACCCTCTTTACAATTTACCTCAATGAACTTTGTGATATCTCGCTGCCTAACTCACATATCTGTTCGTATGCTGATGACACTGCCATACTAGTTTACGGTAAGACTTGGGCTGAAACCAGAATCTCGGCCGAACAAGCCTTTAGCCTTGCAGTCAACTGGCTTGCGAACAATCTTCTGACACTAAATATAGAAAAAAACTACCTACCTAACCTTTGCGATTAATCCATCTAGCCAACCTGCGGTGGACTCCATCACAATAAAAGCCCATACTTATCCAAATAATAGCCTTAAATGTTCATGCCCTTCCTTAAACAGAACCTCATCCACAAAATATTTGGGGGTAACCCTTGATCACGGCCTAAATTGGTATGAACATATGCAAATATTGGCAGCAAGGGTTAGAAAATTAATATACGTCTTCAAAAAGCTCCGAAATTCTGCTGACCTGCCTATTCTTAAAACAGTTTATACCTCCCTATGCGAATCTATTATCACATACTGCATCCCGCTTTGGGGAGGATCGGCCAAGACTAAGTTTATTGACCTAGAGCGTGCTCAGAGAGCGGTCCTTAAAGTCATGCTTCGGAAACCTTATAGATATCCTACCAACCAACTTTATAAGGATGCGGCATGTCTCACGGTCAGACAACTATATGTGTTGCGAGCTTGTCTCCGCCGACACAAAACCGTGCACATAACAGATGCAGCTTCTACAAATATTGTTAGAAGACCCAAACCTCCATGTCCTAGTGTAAAATTCAGGACTGCTTTTGGTAGGAGAAACTATGAGTATCAAAGTGCAAATATTTATAACAAACTACATAAGATCTTAAATCTTCAACACCAGACAAAATTCAAAGTCAAAATAAAAATTGAACAATGCTTACACTCTCTTGATTACCACGACACAGAGAACCTACTGTAGTTTGCTAAGACAGACGTAGATATACATACTCACAGATAAACACGTACACTCTCCTGCACACGCACATTCACAACAAGCACACGAACGCACGCACACGCCCACACATACTCACACTTACACATATACATACACACACACACACACACACACACACACACACACACACACACACACACACACACACACACACACACACACACACACACACACACACACACACACATATATACATATACATACGCATATATGACCTATTTCATTGCCATGTTACATTTTCATGTAGAATAATTTAAGTTTACCTATAATGCATTGCGCAGGGCGGAACCACTGATTCTCAAAAAACAGGCAATCCTAGTTTGAGGATCAGGGGGCTTATATAATTGAATGCCATACTACTCATTACAACTTATTATTGTTAAATGTAGTCATTGTGTAATTTTCTGCTTATTGTTTGGTTAACTTTATTCAATAAAAATATTATTATTAAAAAAAAACTTAAACTATCAAGAAAATCCTTCTTAAATAACGTTGAACCGACTTCAAACAATACAAACAAAGAGCACTTACAACCTAGCAGCAATCGCGGTTGATTTGCTGTCATTTTTTGAAGAGTTTCGTTGTCTGTCTCTGAAACTTATCACCAGATTTATTTGAAATTTAAATGGGACCATTTCGGAATAACCCCCTTTCGAAACTAAACAAGGATTTAGAAAATTCAACTATATATAACAGAGTTATATACATAAAAAAAATATAAACATCCGAATTGATAACCTCCTCCTTTTTGAAGTCATTTAAAAAGGACAATATCGAAACCATTTACTCATTTTACATAAGAAAGCAACTTTTTGTTTGCCAAAAATACAAGTAAAAGAGGTAGGTATACCTAAATGTTTTTATAAGCGGTAACCACCCCACCTTGTCAAATTCATATTCGAAAAGTACTACTAAAACAAAATGGCTGTTGTTATTATGTAACTTTTCTATTACATTGAGATATTTTCAGGAGGCAGATAACATTTGGGGAAAGCATATGTACAATATTAGTTTAGTTTCAGGATTTTGGTTGCTCGAGTGCGGCTTATGAAAACGCAAAATTACCTAATATTGTGGAATGAATTTGATACCACCTAATTGGTTTTGTCAGTTTGGTTCAAAACAATAAAGCCTTAATAATCTGATAATTGAGTGTAAAATGACGTTTTAATTAGCCCTGCTATATTTTTTTAATACAAAAGACAACTAAGTACCGCACCAGGTACAATCCTGTCTCACGGGGGACTTTACAAACATACATGAAACGGACCCTAAAACACCCAGACTCAGAATGACAATTTGTGGATAACAAAGTGTCGTCCCATGCGGGGATCGAACCCACAACACTCAGTGTAGTAGGAAATGCGCACGACGACCGCTTAAACCACTACGCCATCCGTGCAGCAATATTGACATTTTACCTGTATCAGACCCGCTTATAATTGCTAAAGGCCTATCAATTATGATTTATACAACTGCGTTCACTGTGGATCTATATCAATAGATCGAATTATAAAATAAACCTACAGAGTATTTTTACTTCGTTCTCTATTTGTTTAAACGGCTTACTGACAGCTAGATTTAAATCTCTGATCTTCTATTGGTTACATGTTTCTTATTTTTAGTTGGGAAGACTATGTAACTTTGTGCTCCGACCCTTAACAGCTGATCAGTGACTTTAAACGCAGATTAAACAGTGAAGAACGGCTTGTAGTTCACATACACTGTTGAAACAAACACAGATTTTGAGTGGATATACATAGAAACGTTCATATGTACATGTCAATACTTGCAAAGGTTTTTCCTTCAACTTATTAACATACGCTAACCAGAATTCAAACTAGAAGTATCCGCAAATCCAACAAATGTCTAAACTATTTTATTTATGTATTTTATTATCTTCAAATTAATATCTCAAACTCATCATGACTTATACAAATGTCATTCACTGATCTACCTGCACGAATAATAAATGAGTTAATGGGTTGATTATGGCTATGCAGTCTTATCTCCTCTTGTTTGCGGCTTAGTGTAGTTTTCATACTTACCTAGCTGCCATCTATACAAATAAATTAAATTGAAGTGTCTGTTTGTAATGTCAAAGTATAAGGTTTTTTCATGCTCACACGGTTATTTGCACGATACCTATGCCTAAAACCAGTTTAAATATTTTTTGTCTGTCTGTCTGTCTGACTTTCTGTTTGTTTGTTCCGGGTAATCTTCAAAACGACTGGGCCGATTTGGATAACATTTCACTACCAGGTAGCTGTTTATATAAGGAGTAACTTTGGCTATTTATTCTCTCAGAAAAACCGTACAAAATTTTCCCGGTCCTGGAATCGAACCCACTAAGGCAGCGCTTTTGAAATTCCATGCGAACGAAGCCGCGGGCACAAGCTAGTAAATAATAAGTACCTACAGCAATTAAGATACTGCACCATACGAGATTGTGGTATAAAAGTATTTTGGTAGTGTTGCTCTTAAAAGAGGCAAACTACAAAACTATAGTGGGAAATGTGGGAAATAGCAAAAGACAATTATCGTGATCTTAGACAATCTACGTACACTTTACGCTTAGGGTACACCGAACTGTTTCTCGCTGAGTAAGCCGCCAAGAGCCGAACATGATTGTTATTTCTACTCAACTACAACCGTGTAAGACAGGCCTAAGACTAACCTAGTTTGTTTACTTAATTATAAAGAACACAAAAACTTATATTATCACCTTTTTACGTTCAAAAGGCTTCGATAAGTATATTTATTGAATCTATATATCTATTGAGTCATGTTCAGATGCAATACACTTGCATCAACTATAAGATACATTGAAAATCGCATTATCGTTCCTTCTGTTTGTGGTAACACTGGATTTTTAACACGGAATAGAAGGATTTGATCATTTATATAAAACAGCACAGTTCAAAAGTTCGGCACGGTAAACATCCGCTGTCATTGCCTGACTAGACCTGAGAAAGCTATAGCGAATAACATTGATATAATACTTAGTTGTTTTAACTCAATGGCGAATAACATCACGAAGAAACCACCAAACAGTTACCATTACCTTCGAAGTATCCATCTTTCACGTCTAATCTGAATTTAAAAAAAACAATTGAAAGTCAAACATCGAAAGTTGCACATTTAAAAAAAGAACCTCATAGGTATCATGTGAAAAAAATCTGACACCATCGAGGTTTAATGTCAATTCAAAGTACTATTACTGTACAACGATAATTTCATACTTTAACCCTTATTACTTTAAGGGGCCGACATAGTAACCTGTAATGTACAGGAAAAAAAAACATGCAAAGCTGAGGATTGAATTAGCAACACCACTATATACCTAACTTGCCTTAGTGTTTTAATTTAAATATTTAAAATTAGTCTTAATCGTTGCTTTTTGGCTTTGTGTGGCTCTAAGTCTCAAAGAGCAACACCATCATTATTCCATCTTTACGCGACTTAAGGCAACATTTACATTGCCTTTGGGAATTTTAGGGTAGTGACCTACCACAATGTGCCGCAGCGAAGCGTGGCATTGTATAGCAAGTATTTTATAAAAACTGAATCGGGTAACTTACCTGATTCTATTTGATCACGGCGAAGGGCAGGCCATTTAAATTTGGATAAGATACTTGGACCAGGCCCTTTGGGTAACAGAAATGTTGAGTCTCAACATAACTCTGCAGCTTATGCCCAGTTTTAATACGTGCATCAAACCACCACAGTTATTCGCATCAGCAGGAATAACCTTTGAAGGTGGTCCTTTTCCGTAGGTAGTGCTACCTCTCGCGACTTATATGAAGTAGTTCAACCTATTACGTACCTATGATTATTTACACTAAAAATGGCAAATAAGCAATTTAATAAAAAAAATAAACCGATTTCAAAAAAAAACAAAAAAGAAACACTCTCTACCTAAAAACACTAACAAGCGAAATGAATTATTTATATTATTCAAAAATTTGCGACTTTTTATAACCAATTAAATCAAAAACTTTACCTAGGAACTGTAACTTACCTATTATCAATAGTTTTTTTAATGAAAATATAATATAAGTATATAAGATATAATTTCACAAAGCGAAAGTAACTTCGTTTCGACCGGGGATCCATAAACCCCTTACGCCGTTTTTTTTTTTTTGTTTTTTTCTTCTGGCAACAAATTTTTATATCCTACCAGAGGAAATGCTGAATTTAGTGCTATTACATGGAAGGAGAGGCCTGTGTCAAGTGGACTACTATAGGCTATTGATGATGATGATAACATTTAACTAAAAGCAGTAATAAATATTTCAAACACTTCACAATACTGTTATGTTGGATTATAAAAAAACGAGTGTACTTTAGACCACACGACTGAAGTAAAACTTCTTGGCTATCAGAGAAAGAGAGAAAGAAAATATGTGCTCGCACCTGTCTCTCTTGCCCCTACAGTAAAATACGAAACGTAACTCTCTCTCTTTCTATCTTCACTAACCTCTCCCTCTCAACTTCCGTTCGCCTCGCTCACACTTTTCGTAACGTTCTCGTCACGCATTCATTATAACATTGATGGCAGGGGTTTTGTTTAAAAAATTCCGCCAATCCTTGGCGAGACTTTTTAAACGAAATGCCATTTGTTGCCTGTCAATCCACTGCTTTCTTCCCTTTCTGTGTCTCTCTCAAATAATATTTTTTTCGGCCCTTCAGTCTAATTAATATTTTTAGTGGCCTTAGACCGTGTCTGGTTTGGGCAGCCCTGTATTAAACTACCAAAGGTGGTACAGCAAAACTTTAAAATATAAAGGCGACGTTCTGAATATTTCTGAACCTAGTACTACTGCGAATTACGAATTGAAGGTAAAACATCGTGTCATAATACTCTTCCTTACCACTTTTTAATATTGTTTATTTCTGATTTATTTAAACTGTCAATATGCATAGATTTTTGTATTTGATATAACATAATATATATTTATTATATTAGTAAATATTCAGATGTTTCGATCTCTGTAAAACAAGACCGAAATGACAAGTTTACGACTGTCACTTCTGACATAAGTCATCCTAAGTGCGATGCGGTCCATAATTCCACACACACACTACTCTGTTACATAGCATCTAAGCTCTTTGTGTCTCTTTTTGTCTAATGCATTATTTTGCGAAATCACGCCACTTTATGGACTAAATGCCACAATTGTAAAATTTCTGCGCTGCCAATACAAGTCAGTGTCAAATATGTCAATATCTCTACGTCAAAGTGTATATTGTTGACCTTGTTCGCGAAATATACGGACTGGTATGCGGACTGGTTTGTTGTATATTACAAAAAATAATTGTACAAGTTATTTTTGTTCTGTAAACAAATAAGTGTTGAAGACTACAGTGCTCAGTTTCCAGGTATGTCTGAGTAATTAAATATTTATTATCAATATCCTATGTACGTTCGTTTAAGAAAATTATATTCTCTAGTTCGAGATAGGATTTAGAATGAAAAACGGCTTTTACCAGAGTCGATGACGCATTTGAACCTGTATGTATTTGTATCATGTGGATTATGTAGGTATATAAAATTGCTTTGACCTTAGGTATGGACAGTCAATTCTTTGAATCCGATCTTGTAATAAGAGACCTCACTGAACGGCTTATAAATGAGAAATTAGAAAAACAAAATATTTTTTCAGATTTGCTTTGTGTCTATCTATTACTTATATAGTTTGTTACGGGCTAATACTTTTTTTGCTAGCTAGTGTTAGCTCTGCTTAATTATAGCTTATATTTAGTAAAAGTTTTATTTAAGAAAACATTTTACATTTATCTACAGCCAAGTAATAATTTTTTAACAAATATTAACAACCCATCTATTATAAATTTCTACCATTATCTTGTTAATTTTATAGTCCTACACAAATGTAAAATAAATTTTAATAGTACGTAAAGATTTTATGTCTGGTTTGACATAGTGATCTCTACCTCTATCAGGCCTCTATATATATCAAACTTATTTTAGTACAATAATTTAACAACTGTAATTCATAGACTAATATAGTAAAACTGATATGACCAATGACTAAATAGGTAAACAAAATTTTAGCAAAATTAGCATAGGTAAAAGAAATGTGTTTTAAAAGAATTGAAGGTTGTTTAGATGCTATGCATGAGTCTATTTTGGAGTATCTGACTTGGTTCACCCTTGACAACTTCAGACGTGGAATAAACAAAATTAGTTAGTTAAATATTCCTTAAGTTATGTTATTTGACCTTTGTACACATACTACTACCCGAGAATAATATAATTGTAACCCATTGAATGTAACAAGGAAATTCATAGAGATACTTGTAGGACAATTGCAACATCCTGCTCTTATCTTTGGTTTATACAATGTGTTGAAACACAATAGTGTTGATACGAGTTCAGATGCTTAAAATACTAACACTTGTACTTAAGCATTTATGAGGTTATGAGATTACCAGTACACACATGTTTCCTGTTATAATTACTTAACTTTCTGTAATAGTTTTCAACCATTATAATATATAAAAAAATATATAAATTAGTTTTTTTTAACAAAATATATTTAACATGTTTTGATATTATTCTGCTCCTTAATATTTGTAGGTATGATATATTATACCTAAATACTTGTTGGACTTTCTAGAAAAAGCCTTGCTTACGACTTTGAGTATGATCATTGTTTTAGTTTCTGTTTACAGACAGGATGAACCCAGTGTACCAACATAGACAAATAAAATATTATATTTAATTTATCTTTTAAAAAAAGAACACCAACTTTAATTGTCCTAAGTCTATACTTTTTGAAATTGGCTCTCAATTATCACAATCAATTATGTAACATGCATACATATGATCGCTTTGAAGTAGGTATATTTTTTAATTCTTCTTGTTTTAATCCCACATTTGTAATTTATCTAAGTTACAATAGTCAAATAAAATCTGCTTATCACCATTTACAAAGTATACCTGATGCAGTGATGTTAATATAGTAGAGTTCTACTGATAACTCATCATTGTGCATTGAGAACACCATAAATAGCTTAGCAACTTCTCTCGATTTCTTCAGGGTATCAGATTCAGGCCCGATGACAATGGTGCATTCCGGGAATATATACATTTTCAAACAAAATAGGGTTTCGTAATCTATGCAGCCTTCTTCAAGTTATTGGTAGTGTAATATTTAAGTACATAAAAAAGATTGAAACGAACTGGTAACATCCTTCTATTTTTTAAATTGTATAAGACTTTCAAACTACTCACTTATAGGTAACCGTCTAAACCAGAGATCTACTAGAAAACTCGGTGGATTACGATTCTTTTAACCGAAGCCGAGCCCTAGCTTATTTTGCAAAACTTTAGGTCGCAAAACTTTTTAAACAATATTGGACCCATAAATTAATCTGGATAGGCGGATTTCCTGATTTCGAATTGAATTACGAATTGCCTTGCTCATATTAAAAACAGGTAAGTATATGCATCCGAACGGTTCAGATATTATTTTCATGGTCACTGGTAGTTTGCGCTTATCTTAGCAACATCATTTATTGATACATAGGCAACATTCTATTATGATACATTTTGCAGCTCTAAAAACGGTTCGAAGGCCTGTGAAACTAATAAAGGTAAATTGAATTAAAATTGTATTCTTCCTGACAAGTAAACTATTTACTTTTCTATATCTATCTAATGCAAAATATTATTAAATATTACAATTATATCAAATCATATATAGTGTATATGTACTATAAACATATATTTCATGAATCTGGTGGCACGGTAGTGCCACCGCCGAGATGAGCCAAGCGAGGCGCAAGGGCGCTACCTAACTACTTTTTCTCGAAGCGTTGTCGTTGTTTTTGAACCCTCATAACTTGGGTTTGGATTATACTAGATAAACGTTTAAATATATAAAGTTTCAATGGCATGGGTCTCCCCAATTTCGTCCCCTTACCAGAAAAACTACCTTGAGGAGATAAACTCCCCTGGCCAACCTGGAAGTCGCTTAATAGGCTGCGTACCCAGATTGGCAGATCTAAAGACTATCTGTCAAGGTGGACCTAAGCTCAAACAAATGCAAATGTGACGCATCTCCACAGACAATGGGCCACTTGTTAACATGCCCCGCGAGCCCAGATTCGTGCACGTTTGACGACTTGTATCAAGCAATTCGCGTTGCCGAGCACTGGGCCTAAATCATGTAAAGTGTTGCCATTGACACGATAAGTAAATAAGTAAGTAATGGCATAGCTCTAATACTTTAGGTTTTCTTGATATCTAAAAACCGCGATTTCGTCATTGACTCACTGATGATCATCAAAATTCACCGGTTACCTGTAGTCCTAAAAAGCTGAAATTTGGTATGTAAACTAGTATTAGTACATACACAACAAAAAAATATAACACTTGGAACTTCCCTTCCCCTTTCCAACTCTTTAAACTAGGGGATGGAACTTTGTATGAGACTTCAGCAAATTTTGATGCTAAAGGTCTGAAAATAGATAAAATAGGAACTCTTTATAAACAAGAAATATATATTTCCACACTCACACACATGCTTTAAATTAGCGAATAGGCAATTAAGCGCGCGCAAATCGCCTAATTTGTACCCGCCCGACACGTGCTTGCCGTCCGAACTTAAACGATGGTTGCCGATTAAGTCCGAAGTCAATGTCACAAAGCGTTCAACCCTCAACGACACACGTGTCGCCGTGAAACCGCTCGACATTTTTAACTGTCATAGCTCCCTGTAATTACTAAAGCACAGTGCTACTACCACATTTTAGTAATATGTGGTAAATAGATTTTAAATGTAGGGAAAGACATCTACTTAATAATATTTTTATCTTGCTCCATGCCAACGTGACCACAAAAACCGGTTAGATAACTTTTTATAATACAACTGTATGCGATTATACGTAAACAAACGAGCAGTCTTTTATTTCTGTACTGGCAGAAAAAGGCGTACCTCATTCGACTACCGCAACGCACGAGCGAATACATGTCGTAATATGCTAGTAGGTATTCACTATTGATATGTATTCGTTATTCTGTAAGCACAGAGCACAGTTAGAATTATACTTTAAATTGTATTATGTATCACCGTTGGGGCCAACTGTGAACCCCTAGGGTTGCTAAATCGAAACAGCGAATGTCCAGGGCAATTCCGTGTCGGGCTAAGACCTAGTAAAAAAGTCTAAACTTTTGAGCGATTTTTACTATTGTAAAATGTTTATATTTCTTTTATAAATAATAATTAAGCATTATTTGATGCATTAGTGACTAAAGCAACAAATCTTTCATTCAATTGTTCATTTTATAATTTACAATATGTGTACAGTAACATACGTAGTATAAAATAAAGTTAAACTTTTCATGTTTTACAAAATTAAATAACACCATTATTTTTAATTATTTGGTAATTCAATACAAAATGTAACCGCCTCTGTTTAAAACTTGTCGGCATCGATTTTTCATTGCATTTAGATTGTTTGTCTGATTCTGCGGTAATCGCTCCCAATGGAATTTTACAAGTCTTTCAGTTGTTGGGTTGTGGACACTCCGTCCAGGTTCTCTAGAACACTCATGTTTTCAATTGCCAAGCATCAGCGTGCAATCTGAGCCAAGACTTTGTGCAAATGGGTGAACATAAGGCCCTAAGACATCGTCAACGTAAGTTTTTGCGTTCCTATTTTCATCTACAAAAACTCAGACGCATATTGTAGCTGTAAACCTAGTAAACCCTGTTGTATGTATCGATCCTGTCGAGCACTTGTACTCCTTCCACGTCCCAAGTGCTGTTCAGCAGGATTGCAGCCCTGTGCCAAAGACGACAAATCACGCTTCTATTGACACCAAAATGCCGAGATACCTGGGACTGATTTCTTCCCGCTACAGGCATTCCTACTGCTCTCGACATTTGATCAGCATTCCATTGTCAAATGGCGTCGCTCCATGACCTAAAAAATAACGCACCACTCAATTTTTCAAAAACTGTATAATGTCAAAATGATAAAAGTGAGATAAATACCAAATTTATCTATCAACGAAAATACATAAAATAGGGCAAAGACTATTAGCTTTTATTTTAATGAAAACAAAACACAATCGAAGTTTCTATTTTTAAAATCAGCCAGTATATACTCGTATTTCCGAAAACAAAAAAGATTGTATACCAATCGACTATACTAAGAAATAAAATTGACACGTAGTTTCCGAAAATAATGCGTGTTGTTTAGACTTTTTTGATGTGTGTAGTTCATTACATATTTAGAGGAAAATGCCATTTATTTTTAAATATTTACTTTCATAAGATAGTTATGCCACAGTTAACCTACTAAGTAGGTATGTAACGCCTGTTTTACTTGTATTGTGATGAAGCATATGT